AAAATCGGTAATGCTTTCTAGTAATTATAATATATTAGTACCTAAATCAATTCATTCTTACGGGCTGTGTTCACGTGTTGCATGCTAAGCCCTGCTTTGTGTTTGTGGAATAAGTCACAGTGGCTAAATGCATATACAAGGTACTGAATGAATGGTCAGTAGCCTTTTTAGATGGCACCATTATGTGATTTTGTGGGCACCTGGAAGAAAGCATACATACATACATACACTTTAAATAATTTTTGAAACTTAAGAAAAAAATAAAAAAGAAACTGATGTGATCTTATAAGGTATGAGAATTTACAAGACTCAGATAACATGTAAGACGTTGACCATTTTAATTAATTGTTTTTTGAGTTTTGAGACTTATGAATACCACTAAGTAATTTTACAAGTGTTGCCTTGTTGACTACATGCTAAGCCGTAAATCACAGTTCAAAATTATAGCAGCTGGATTTATACAATACAGAATCAAAACCAAGCAAATAATATAGCTTGGCATGGTATGTGAATTCAATCATAGTTTAAGTAAAATGAACTAAGCCAAAATCTTTTAAAACCTGACAGCTTAAAGTAGGTTTTGCTTTTGGAGGGAGAATCTGGATACTTTTTATTCTACCCTCCAAAGAAATATATGCCAAATCAAGAAAGCGAATTAATCTAAACACAGACCATTCTGTATTTTTCATTTTCCTCTGTTAAAAATAAACACTTGAACTACATTGGTTTGAATGTATAAAATGAATAACTGGGAAGTGTTTGCTTGCTTCTTTAAGGTGAATGCTTATGCTCCAGTGCAACTGTCAGCTGCAAAACTTCTTGGGTTTGGGGGCAATGAGAATTCCAAAGATACTGTACTATGTCCTGGTGTAATTACGTAGGAAACCTTTTTCAGATTTTAAAACTGCAAATTGTACCATAAGGTGCGTTTAAGTTAGTGTGTAACACAACCTAAAAAAACATGCTGGTGTTACTTTTCCTCTCATGCAAGATTTTGCAGGTGAATGTTTTAAGCTTGGTTAAAACATTTCTCACATGCTAATAATGTAGCTTCTAGTAAGAGTTAACTTGCAAGTGCACCAGGATAAAAGTGTAATATATTAACAGAATTTGAAGTACGTGACCTTGCAAATATAATATTGTCAATGCTTCAGATCAGGGGTTTAGTTAATGAACCATTAAAATGTCTAGGCTGTTAGCTATAGGTTCTTATTCCTCCTGAAGCTTTTCTGTATAGGGCATTAAGTTGCACCTGAGGAGTCCTTTCTGTTAATGGGATTTATAATATATACCTCATACTAGAATATCTTTCAGTGAGGAGTATTTTTTCCTATCCAATGTGTCTCTATAAGTTACAAAATACCAAAAACAAATGAACTCTTTATTTTTTTTAAACTTTGACTGCAGTGATAAATATTGGCTTGGTTTAATAAGTTACTAGATGATGATGATGATTATGATGATGATATGTATAAGCAGTTAGAAGAAAGTTATGAGCCACAGTGGAAACAGTAAATCTGTAGTCAATTTTTTATAATATTACATTTGTACTGAAATTTAATTTTCAAAACTATTAAGATTCAGCATATTAAATACTTTCTATGGTCCATTGTCCAGAATTCGAAAGACAACTTGATACCTTGCAAATTTATTAAGAAGTAAAATCAGTTTAGTTCAATGAAGTTTACTCCCAAACAAGTACATCTGATTCTACTGTGGTTCATAAAACAACTCCATATTCATTAAAATATTTCTGTACTGATGTACTGAGAGTGGTTTTGGTATCGTGACATGAAAATGCATCTAATCAAGTTAGTATAAGGCCTGGGTTCATACAGCATGCTAAACCATGATTTGTTTTAAATATGGTTTATTTGCAATCCGCAGAGGTTGAGTTAAATTTAAGACTGAAATTATGGTTCTCACATTATGCAAAACAATAGTTTCTTTCAAATCTGTCCCATCAGTTCATTTAATGCCAGTCTTCATTTATATAATAAAGTATTGTTTTAATTATTTTATTTTTAAAAATCGTATGTGACCTTTCACAAAGAAGTTTAAACACTCTGGAAGTCATACTTTGAAATGTTTAAAGCAGTGGTTAAAAATGGATATGAATGTAGCAGTAATGAATTAATTAAGAAGATCCAACTTATATAAAGAATTTAGAGGTTTCTATATTGCCTAGACAATAGGAGAGTGTCTTCTATAGCAGGAATGTCAATGGACCTTAAACTACGACTTATACAGCAAAAAATATTTAGAATTTATTGGACTCTACTACATTTGTATAGAAAATGATTGTCAAAAACAGGATTTTGTTGGAGATGTAATAAGGACAATGCCTCTTTAAAGCATATGTTTTTACAATATCCTATACAGGTAGTCCTCACTTCACAACCATTAGTTTAACGATAAGTCAAAGTTCCAATGGCCTTGGAAAAAGTGCTTTACAACCTGTACTCGCACTTACGATGTCTCAAACCATTGCACCACTCCCTGTGGTCACGTGATTGGGATTTGTGACCTTTTTATGACAGTCATTAAGTGAATCACGTGATCGTTAAGCAAATTCTGGCAAAAAACTGTCCATTGGGGAACCTGGATTCACTTAACAACCACATGATTTGCTTAATGACTGGTGATTCACTTAATGACCACCGTAAAATGGTTGTAAAATTGGGTCTGGTCACATGGCGACTCACTTCATGGCTGCCCCATGTAACAACCAATTTTCCAGTCCCAATTGTGGTCATTAAGTGAGGACTACCTGTACTTACTAAGTTTTGGGAGAAAGTAGTGGACTATGTAAATATGGTTGTGCAACAAAAGCTAAAATTTTCAGAGGAAAATATTCTTGAACTATATACTTAGTACATGGAATTTGACATCTGGACAACGTACATGGATTATCTGTGCCCTTACTATGGCCAAAAGACTGATATTGCAGCATTGGAAATATAATTTTATTCAATGGATTGAAGACCTGTTTGCACTTGCCACTTATGAGTGGATTGTCTATAGATGTAGACTTTATATGGACAAGTATAATGAAATATGGGACTCATTTATACAAAATACAGTAGGTTAAAAAAATATAGTCACATAAATGTATTGGAAATATATATGCATTTGAATAATATTTGCATTATAGAAATATATATATAGATTTGTAACTATTTACTCTTATAATGATATACTATGCCAAGTTTTTATTTCTGTTGTTGTATTTTTGTCATTTTCTTGTAATAACACTTTTTAATGTTGTTGTTCTTCTTGATAGTGTATTATTATTTTTGTGTTTTGTTTTTGTTTTTTGTTATTAATTAAAAAGCAATAAACATTTTATATAAAAAAGGTCCATCTTATAACCTGCGACAATAATTTCAAAGTATAAGTAGGAATATGAGAAGGAGGCATTCTTTTAGACACTACTGTTCTAAACTGTGTTGGACTTCATTGATTAGTATCTTTACCTTGAATTGGAGCCAGAAGAAGGGATTCGATGAAGGACATACAGTATGGTTATAACACACTGATCCAGTCAGGACTCACAGTCATAGTTTTGCTAGTTTTAGATTATTTTCAGGAGCAATTCCATATATGCAGGTTGCAGTAATTTAGGTGACAGGTTACCAGATTGAGTACTGTCAGACTATATAAATATAACCCAGCCTAAAGTAGTAAAAGGTGTTTTCAGCCACAGAGGACATTTGTGCCTTACAGAGATGGATTTAAAAACACCTGAAGATAAGAACTTGAAAGTGTACCTCATCTACTATTGGCTGAATACCATTCCCCTGGAAAAATGGTGGAATGCCATCAAGTTCTGTTTGAATCATGATAAATCTATGGATAAATGTGCCAACTTTTAGTAATAACTCATGGGTCTTCCAAAGAGAATTCTGTAATGTCTTTTGTTGTTTTCATATTTGTTTATTTTATTAAATATTTAAAAACATAAGTAAAGCAGAAAATAGGAAAAGCAAAAGAGATATAAAAGCATTATAAAATTAAGTAAATATTTCAAAATAACATTAGCTTGTTTCTACAATTAAAATATCTTCTGCCAATTTAAAACTTTAGTTCTTTAGTAAAATCAAGATAATGTGCAATTAATAATAACCAGTATAATATAAATTATAAATCAAGATGAGAGATTATAATAATTTCTGCCTAGTCTAAAAAGTTTATCCTTATTTAGCAAATCGTAGAAAAACTTAAATGTTAAAATATTATATTAGAAGAAATCCAAACTTTGCATGTGGTAGAAGCCCGTATGTGGAATTATAATCTAGGAATGGCTTCCATGTCAAATTGAATAATGTATCATACTTGTTTTTCAAATAAGTTATTTTTGGCATAAATGCATACTCCTGCAACTTAATTTGCTATTTTTCTACAGAAGGGATTATACATGATTTCCAATGAGAAGCATAGAATATCCTAGCAGCTATAACCATTTACAAAGCCAATTTGGTATATTTTATGGGAATATGAGCTTTTGTAATAATTATTAGAAAAATAGCAAGTTGGAAAGAGAATTCAACAGAATTTGTTTCATTCTGTTATAAATCATTTTACAGGACTGTTTGGCTTTATATCATTGTCACCAAATATTAAGAAAATGATCCAATCTGATTATTAGATTTCTAACTTTTTTTAGAGAATGAATTAAATATTTTAGTAATCAGTACTGGAATAATATTCCATCAGTAAAATAGCTTGTTTGAGTTTTTTCTAGGTGTAATATTCACTGTAAATTTAATATTTGTCTTCCATTGATATTCCCATTGTTGTGTGTCAATTGTTGTGTTTAAATTCTGTATCCATTTAATATATTTAATTCCTGTAATCTCTTTAATATTTCATCTACTTTATCCATTGTCTTTCACTTCTGTTCAGTCTTGCCAAAGTCATAATTGTTTCTGATCCATTTTCTGCTTGCATCAGATGCCCGACAAACCATTTATGGACAAATAAACTATTTATTTTGTTAAGATTGAGCTTCAGTCTTTTTAGCCCTCCTGTAGTCCATTATTAGAACTTAACCTGAAAAAAATCATGCAAACTTAATTCATGATTTAACACAATCTCTAAATTTAGTTATTTGACTTATTTTGTAAATTTAATGTTTTTTTATTTCATTTAGTGCTTTTAAAACTTGTGAATTGCTAAACACTCTGTGAAGTAAGGCTAGTTAAGATGATTTAACACAGGTAATATTGGAAATAGATAATTTCACTGTAAATTTAGCAAATGCTGTTCTCTTGTCCATTATTATTTCCTATGTTTTCTTAGGAAAACTTAATTCAGTGATGCTGCAATGAGATTCTCAATCTCATGAACACTTAGAGTAATGTACATTTCACTATTCTTATTTTGATTTTTAGGAGATTGGCTAACAAGAACAGTGATCCTAAAAATGTATGAGGTGTCTTAGGAGTTCAAATGAGAATACTGGATTTTTGTGAGTAAGAATTTCATTTCTTTAACAACTAGATACTTTTCAGCTAAGTAAACTTATTTTGCTCATTTAGCTTTGTATGGGTTTTAATTAATTAATGTTGTAGCATTCAGTAAAACAGTAGGTGTTGCTCCATGTTTCTTCTGTCACAGGTTCTGTGTAGTACTATTTTGGAATTATCTACTTGTGCACATTATGGAATTAATTTTAAAAAATATTTCTAGAAATCAAGAGTGCAGGTGCATAGTTAATTAAGTTATTGTATGGCATGTTTTGGCCAGGGACAGTAATATTCCCAATTCCAGAAATCTTTCAGTGGAAAATATTTAATAGTTCAAGGAATATTGAAACAAAACATAGAATTTGCCTCCCAAGTGATGCGCTCATTAGCATTAAAAATATTTTAATTTTTGTGGGGAGAGTTTATATGAAAGGAATGAAGTTTCCATGAAAAAAGAGGGTGATTGATAATCCAGTTGATTGTAATCATCCATATGACTGTTCTGGGAAACTTGCTCTTGTTTTTTTTCCAGTAGTAATATCATTTAACAAAATCAGAGAAGTGTAAAAGAACTCTGGGTTCATGTATCACACTGTGCTGTAGAACTATAGATTTGCTTCATATATAAATTTAGGGCATTTTATTTAACTATGACTGAATAAACCATAATTGGCTGAGAGTAATGAATCCCATGAATGGTGCTTGATTCCTGATAATTACATGGACATGGCCATATTGTTTTCTAAGTTACATTACAGAAGTGGTTTGTTATTGCCTTCTTTTGGAATATTTTTTCGACTTACCAGTTTAGCGTACAGCTGTGGAATTCCAGGGTGGTGTCCTGTCCAAGTTCATACTGGGCCTGATCTTTCCTAGCTTCCCAGCCCAGACAAGGTCAGCTTGGTGTAGCCATCTGCTGAGACAAAAAAAAAAGTGATCTACCAGAATGCAAACTGACAGCTTTTGGAAAATTCATTCTCTCTTTTTGGTTTAAAAAACTTCCCCAAAGTTTTTAGAGCAAGGGCAAAATACAATTTAATGCCTCTGGTATTTGGCAAGGTCTCAACAGGTGACATAACTTGGGAAGTTACAAGAAATTAAGCAGAGTTTGCCCTAGTTAGTACTTAGATTGAGACCTCCAGAGATACCAGATCTGTAGGCTAGACTGGGGTGTTGAAAAGACACCGTGGAAGAAGGCAGTTGTAAATCTCTTCTGAACTGTTCCCCAAGTAACTACATGGATGTGTCTTGAAGTCAATAAAAGTTGAACTCAACTCATAGGGGACTTTACTAAAACTTTGAAAGTGTTATCCCCTCACTGCAATTTTTAAAAATAATCTCTTCATCCTGCTTTGGCCATACTGATGAGGATTAAACATGCTCTTCTATGTTAAATAGGAAGGCGTTGAAGCTTACCTCTGTTATAGCACCAGCTGGGTGCATGGCACAAGGGTCTGAATGAAAATTAGTCCAAACATCAGTTTGATTTATTTAGTCTTTGGATTCTAGCCATGAACTAGACTCTACAGATTAATTTAAATAAAAGTTTGCAAAAAGATTTCTTCTGATCAGGAGTAGTTGACTGTGGTAGCAGTTGAATTCATCTGTATGAAAGCAGTTTGTGTTGCATTCCCTTGACCCTAAGTAATACTTTCTTTATTGGAATTGCTCTCCCATTCATCTGATAAATAACTTAATTTATTTGCTTTCTTTTTCTGGGATATAAAAAAATTAATGGCTTTGCAACTATTCATGTGTGAATTGCTTGCTATATAAATCATAGCTGAGGGAGGGATTCTTTGAAAGCCATCTTCAAAATGAATATTTTTGCTTGTCTGAAATATTGTAGTAATGCTGAAACAGCATTTACAAAGTGAAACAAAAGCAACAGACTTCATTGATTAAAATCAACAATGCAGGGAAACATTGCACATTGTAATACTGTTGTCCTGCATAATGGAACTCCAGTTTTATGCTGAAAACTGAAGTGCTTTAGACATAACCTTCTACTGACTTTGGTACAGATACAATCTCTTTGACGTCAGAGAGAATGGAGCCATACGTGTAGAAAGTGAAATGGGGTATTGTTGATACAGCGCTCTTTAGCTAATGAGTTCAAACAATTAAGGACTGTCTTTTTTTTTTCCAGCAAATTAGAGAGAAATTATATACTTGCAGAATCAGAGGCTAATCTTTGTGAGGAAGCATAAAGTAGAAAAACCGCTGCTATTTCTGGCTTGGGTAGAACAACATAACGTGTTCTTTATTTTTTTATTTCATTGAGTGCTTTTAAAACTTCTGAATTTCCACTGGGTGCTTTTCAGGCTTGGAATGCTGTTAATGCAGAAAGTTATGTGTTAACCATGTGCTGTATAGATTCTGTTACCCCAAATTGGGTACCATAGCTTGAATCTCAAAAGTAGGTTGAAAACTGTTCTAAGCTAGAGAGAGAAAGTTGATCCTGGTCTGAGATACTCTTGGGATGCCAAGTGCTAGGAATGCTGGAATGCATAGCACTGGGAGTTTGCTTTGTTCCCTTAGCGACTTGACTCATTGAGAAAATGTGGTTTCCCTGGGAGGCTTTAATAGCTTTGACTTCAGTAGTGAATAAAAGGAATCAATTTCTAGTACAATTTAGCTTGTTTTCATCTGCTCTTTGAAGGACAAGTTTTCTTAACCTTGGTGCAGAGAAATCTAACCTTGTCTTTTCCAAGAAGTGATTTATGAGGACCCTTTACATTTATCAGTTGAAGTAAATAACCCTTCAAGTTTATGCATTTCAAATAACTAAAACATTTTTGTGTATCAGCTTTCACTGTGAATATTTTACTGAGGGAGAATGGCTCAGTATCTTTCACATGCCTTGATTTTGACTCTCTTGTTTATTGTAATTGTGATAATGGTAAATCCTTGCAAAACAGTCTTTAAGCAGTTGAGCTTATGTTGATTTCAACAGGAGAATTAGGCTTGCTCACAGTAATCCTGGTTTGAAATTCTGAATACACATTGGGGTTATTGCAAAGCTTCTGTGAGTATAAAGCATCTTTAAAAACATTAATGGAGAAGTTACAGTGTTCGATAGCTCATTTGATATTTTTGGAACCATCAGTCTGAGTTGGGTAAAGTGAATACCATTTTTCCTGAAATATGCTAATCTTAAGGAACAGCTGAAAAGTATTACTCATTGCATCTTTTAACTCATTAGGAACATTATACTTGGGATACTTGCCTGTTACATCATATTGATTATATAGATTTCCACAGATGGAAAGTTTTGGAAACTGCTCTAGTGATATAGCAACCTGAGGCGGGGGAGGGGGGAGGATGCTCAGTCAACCTGCCTGGATCTACTTGTAGGTTAATGAAAAAAACAAAACAACTAAGGAATGAATATTGCTGTTGACAGTGAGCGATTGTAAACATCCTCGACTGGAAGCTGTGAAGCAGCAGATGGGGCTTTCAGTCGGATGTTTGCAGCTGCCAACTGCCACAGGCATCAAACCTTCAGAAATCTTTTTAGCATGTTCCTAAAAAGGAAATAAAGTGGTCTTTATAAAATGCAAAATTGTCTAGGTTTCTGAGGACCCAAAATACTTCCCTGTAGAAAGAATGCTTTGGGAGAGCAGAGTGAACGTCACGATGACAGAACAGAAGTAAGAAATGCAGGGGGCTTGCCATTTTTCAGTGGCCCTCAAAGTAGCTCTAGATCTCAACAGTATCTTACACTGTTTTGTACCTCAGCTGCTTTCTTCTTTGCGAGGGAAAATGCAAATCATGGACTCAGTAATCCTGGTACCAGGAAACAGAATTAGAATGGTTTTCCCCCTGGAATGTTTTTGCAGTGTCCTAAGCAGATTTTGGTATGGTTCATCCTGTTTACTTAACTTTTGGTTTTATTTATTAAATATAGAGATGGAATGAAATGGTCATTCCATTTGCAAGTATCAAAAGGAAAAAAAGTTTCAACGCACCAAACTGTTTTGCTGGTAGGGGCTTGCTGTTACAGTCTGTGGCATTAAGCAGCAAAGTTCATATTCCTTCATTTTCTGCTGAAGTTGCTTTTTTAAAATTGGAGGAGGGATATGTTTCCCCATCCTGTTAAGCCTCCTCCCTTTCCTGAGATGCATCATTTTGTGACTTCTCTTTTCATTCATTTATTCAACATATGTTGCTCTGTTTCTGAAGTCTCTGAGTGTCTTACAGTATTAATATTGGATGATTGAAAGCAAAAATCAATTAAGTCAGTTATAATCAATCATCCTGATGGGCCACCATTAACAGTAGAATAATCTTACTCATATCTAGGTGAAGAGTCTGAAGAGTCATGTTTATATACCTCTCTGAAAAAGTAGTAAGGAAGGAATGGTCTAGATATCCAGGGATAAGCTGTTCCAGAGGAGGGGGCCATCACTTAGAAGGCTGAGCCTAGAGTGCATGTGGTGGGATCTTCAGCAAGCCTTCTCTCCTATATATTACTAGATGGGCAGATTCAACTTGGAGAAGGTAATCAATGATATCTAGGCTGTGAGCCATGAAATACTTCAAATGTGACATCCAGCACCTTGACCTACACTTATAAGCTAACTGGCAGCCAGTGCAGCTCCTGCACAAGATGTAATTAACCAAAGGCTCTTGTGACAATAGCTTCCACCTTTTGTTCAAGCAGGAGGACCCCAAAGATGTGGGCTAGCTCCATATGGGGAAGCATTGTCCCATTCAGAGTAAAAAATGGACTGTCTCTGGACTGTCAGATTCTGAATCCATAGCTACTCTGTCTTTGTAAGATTCAAATCCTGTTTCTCCCCATGTAGACTTTAACAGCCTCCAGGTCCCAAGTCAAGACCTCGACTGCTTGTCTTGTGCATTCCACTGGGAGATATCATCTGAGTAGCTTATGATGATTCTTCACTCTTTGCCAGTGGATGACTTTTCCCAGTGGCTTCATCTAGAAGTTAAACAGTAGGGTAGAATTGGTTAAACCCTATGGCATCTCATAACAAAA